GGCTACGAGGGAGCGGTGGCTCTGGGCCGGCCCCATCCCTGTCTGGGGTGAGCTTTCCCGCGGGCAGGGAGTGACCCGCACGCCTTGCCTCTCTCCTCTGGAGCTGCCCCTGCCCAGTGGCTGTGCTGCCCTAGCTCCTGGCTGTGCTCCCATCACAGGCTACTGCCTGTTTTTTTCATTCCATCCTTCCAATTTGTTTAAATAACAAACCTTTAGCCCTTCCTTGGCATAACTGTGTTTTCAAGCCTTTTCAAATAGAGTTTTTGGATCTTTTGTTTTACTCCTTGATGATTATCTCTGTTTTCTGTTGTTTTTCTTCCCTCACAGCCAGTCTAGCAAGATGGGTTTCCAGGCTTGGCTGCCCGTTGCCAAAGCAGCTGGTGGTGTTTGGGCTGGGAGACTGGAGCTGTTACTCTGCGGACACAAGTATCACAGTGGATGTGGTGGTGTCCCCAGGTGTCGCACCACAGCGGATAGGCACTCTGGAGCCCTCCCACAGGTCATGGCAGGAGCTGATGCTGCCGGGGTATCAGGAGGGGTGTCCTGGGAGATCTTTCTGCTCTGTGGTGCTGCCTGGTTCTGCTGGTGTCATCCCAAAGCTGCTCAGGCCTGCTGGTCCTCCCCCATGGTGTTTCTCTCTAATGATGCTTTCAGCTTCCTTTTGGCTGCTTTTGGGGCTGGATCTTTCTTCAGTTTTGGGATGTTACCAGCTAGCATGGGAGCAGGAATTTTTCCCTGGTCAGTGTCACTTGTGGGCTGAAAACACATGGTCCCCTGGGCAGGTCTCTGGTGTGGGAAGGTGACTGGAGGACAGATATTTTCATGGTCTCGTTGAAAGAGATGAATAAAGACAACCCTGTGAAGCTGGTCCTGACTGTCAGTGGACAGGTAAAAGAACCAACATCCTTTTTTTCCTGCCCTCAGTCCCAGATGTTGTCACTTCTGAGCTACAGAACTTATCTCAGACTCTCCTTTTCCTTCTCTTTGCTACTCCAAGGCAGAGCCACCTCATGCACCTCTGTTAATGCACATCAGTGCTGTGCCTAAAACCTCTGCACTGCACTGCACTTCTAAAACCTATTCCCTAAACTGCTTTGCCAGAACGCCTCCTGTGTCGTAGGAGATGGGCAGCAGAGGGTGTTTCACTTCCAGTTTTTTTTTACTCTTTCCTGGGTCTGTGGTAGCTGCACAGTTATTTTACCTTGTGCCAAGCCCTTGGATTTAGCATCTCCCAGTTACTGGCTTTGCTTTTCTTTGTTTATTCTGTAGGCACTGGAGATGAAAGCTGGGCTTTTCCCTTGCAGGGAATCTGTCCCTTGCAAGACATCTTTTTGCTCAGTCTTTGTGGATGTAGGCTGGCACACTTGGTGTGTCCTTTTAATCTGATTTACTGTTTCTGCCGCAGCTGCTCCGAGGCGTCTCCAGCAGCACGCCCACCGGCCCCTTCTTCATCCCAGAGACCACCCAGTCACCAGTGCTCCCAGCCAGCAAAATGCCCCTTGGCCAGGATCTGGAGGATTCTACTGAGGTATGTGTATCCTGGAGCCTTCCTCTCATTATTTTACCCTCTCCTCCGTATCTTCTCCCTCACTCCTAGGTGCTCAGTTGATGTCTAGCAGAAACATTTGCTGCCGCTCTCTTTAGTGGAGACCTGGCTAAGCAAGTTTTGGAGGCACAGATTCACCTGTGCTAAAGAAAGTGGTGCTCTCCATGGAAATGCCTTTGGAAGGGTTGAATTTAACAGCCCTTGGTGGGATGATTGATCAGCCTGGTTACTCCTAGCACAGATGGCCTTTCTGCCTTTCCAGTTACCTTGTGCTAGCTGTGCCCCTCACAGCCAGCAGTCTGCAGCAGACCACTGGGCATATAGCAGCAGGTACCTGCGTTGCTCGGCATAGATTTGGGGGCTGATACTGTTGGCATGCTGGTGCTTAAGACTCAACAGGAAGGCGAGCCTGAAAACGCTCGCCATGGGAAACTGATCTCTGGCCCAGCTCACCATAGCCTCAGGTCTTTTTCTTCAGGGCTGATTTGACTGGGACTCTCATCACAGGTTAAGAGCTCAGAGGTGACTGCTAGAGCATCCAGGCCTGGGAAGAAGGATGTCTGCCCACCACTGAGGACCCTGGTGGTACCTTGTGCCCTGAAGACACCATCTGGCAAGGTGGAACCCAGTGAGGCCTGGAGGAAGAGTCCTGTCCCCTCCAAGAAGCCCAAGAAAGTTTTATTTGAACCCACAGCATCTGAGAGAGCTCTGGATGAAGAAGGTAACTCTCGCAGCTTCTAGGTTTATTTTGTAAGTCTTGTCTGAATGATCTGTCAGTGCTGCTGGGCAACATCTTCCCAGCCCATTTCTCTGTAGATGGCCAAGGCAAGGCGGGCTTGTCTGTCTTGGCTTGTGAAATACACAGGACTGCTCCTTAGTCCTGGATATGAATTTTTGCCTGTCGAGGAAAGGCCAGAAATAGAACATGGGATACTCTTAGTGCCAACATTCCGTGCCTGATAATATGCCTCTCATATGCGTAAAAGTGCTTCATAGATGAAGACAAGTATTGTTAGCCTTGTTTTACAGAAGAGTAAATTGAGACACAAGTATCTTATGTACTATGACATTCTATAACCTCTCTGTCTGTTTGTTGCCCTACTAACAGCATAACACTTCTTCTGTAGAAGACATTGGTAACAAAGTATAGAGAATATCACAAGAAATATATGTATAATTAGTGTTATTGTACTGACTTTTCAGTAGTGCCAAGGGGTTTGGAAACAAAACCTTTAGCTTCTGGAATGTGAATTCCAAGTCAGCTCCAGGGTGTGACCAAGTTTGCAGGTAAATGTTTGACAGTAACTCAGTGCTCTCCATGTGAAGTGACTTCTTGGGACTTGGCTTGCATCTCACAAAGGCAAATGTAGCTCCATCATAAAGTTTCTCCTGGTGTAGGCAGTGTGAGAAGAGGGGAAATGAGCTTCCATCAGAGGGGTCGAATGCAGCGGTGACCGCATGATGGCAGTCAAAGGAATTGTGCCCCGCTCTCACCTGTCTTCTCCATTTCTTCTGATGAGACTTTCTTCAAGATTCTTGGTCTTGCACCTTGTGTGTTGCAGGGAGGTAGTTTTGTGGTGGGGGTTGGAGGAAGGACGACCAAAGGGCTTTAAAGCTATGGAGCTGAGCACTTTCCAGGTTATGTCTGCTGGCTGCTTTCTTTATGGAGCCATCTCTGTGTTTCCTCTGCAGATCTGGCGGTGCAGGAGTTGCAAGGTGAGGATCTGGTTCCTAGACCCTCATTTGTCTTTTCGGCTACTTGGTGATGCCATTCCCTTTAATGTCACAGGCCTCTCATGCTTCGTCCTTTATCTCCCCAGTGACCAGGAATAACAAGTAGGTTGTGTGTGTATACTCTGTGTGTTCCTCTCCATGCAATTGCCCTCAGTACAGGTGTTTCCAGTACTGTCAGGCTCTCCAGTTCGCTTCTGTAGCCCTTCTGAATCTCAGGCACACCTCACCTCTGGCATAGCCCTTGGAGTCAAAGGATAAGATGTGGAATAGACTTTTGATTTAAAGGTATTTTTTAGCTGGCTCAGCCAACTGCAGTAGCCTGGGAGAGGAAAGGAGGAGGAACAGAGCAGTATGAGGAATATCTCTGGAAGCAGCTCCAGGCTTCTGGTTGCAGTATCTTAGGCACTAATAAACTGTCCCTGGGTAGCCCTCCCTCATATGGAGTAACACAGGGGAATAGCACAACTGGGATGTCCCTTCTGGGGATGTGTAATCAATGGAGGCATCCAAGCCTGTCTGAAGTGACAGCCTGTATGAGTTCTACCTCCAGCCAGATTTTTTGCTGGCTCCCTCTGCTAGCGATGTCTCTCCTAGTACAGCAATTATTCCCTGAAGCCAACAGGAAATCTTCCTCAGGGGGCTATGTCTCTTGCCATCCCAGAGGGAAGGGATCCAGGGCCCCTGCCTTCCCATTTCTCCCCTCTGATGCTTCAGCTGCCTCTTTCTCCCCAGCAGGGAAGGGAACTGGGGGTGACTCACCTGACTCTGCTTACAGCCCTGTGCTCTGCCCTCCCCAGGCAGTCCCAGCCCTCGGTGGTGCCATGCCATGTGCCTCAGTGACCCGGGGACAGCTGTCCTGATCGGTGGAGAAGGTGTCGATAAGCAGCCCTGCAAGGATGGACTCTGGAAGCTGGAAATTGGTGGGGACTTTAGAGCTGTCAAAGGCAATGGGGGTAGTGGGACTTGAGGACAACTCATGCAGATGGGAGGGAGTACTCAGGGAGGGGACAGCAAAAGTGTCACATCTTCCTAGCATGGTCACCAGGCTGAGCTGACAGGGTAGTGTGCCATGAGAGGCTGTGGGGTTGTATGTGAGAGCCCTCCAGGAGCTAAGTTACAAGCTCTGGAAAGAGTTGAGTGAGTTTTAAGGGGTAAAAGCAACAGCGTGGCTTACAGTCTGTGCATGATGACTGGTGGAGAACTGGTGGATACAATTCCAGTGCCTTGCAGCTTTCTGCACCTCACTGATCCTCTCTTCCACCTTACTATTCCCCACCTAGTTACTGTTCCCCTTCATTCCTTACATAGAAGCATTTTTGTATGAGTCTCCTCTAGCCCTGAATCAAAGGAGAAGAGGAGATGAAGGGAGCAAGGTCTTGAGTACAGATTTTTTCTTACATATTCTTTAAATCTGGAGAAATTTGAGAGCATCTTTGAACTCCCGCACCATCTGTCTGGTGTTGCTCCCACAGACAGTGATTTCTGGCTTCCAGTGGGTCTCCAGCTGCAAAATGCCATGCCATTGTGCTTGCATGGTCACACAGCCACCTACGACCCGGACACCAAGCGTATCTACATCTTTGGAGGCATAAGAGAGAACAAAGAGTACAGCAGCATCTACATTCTGGACACAGTCACCTGGAAGTGGCTCCCCGTGGCTGTAAGTACTGCAGCTCTTCCAGGACAAAAGCATGGGATGGGTGGCAGGTCGTGCCTGAATGTGGCAACCGATGTGCCTTATCCTTACTCCAGTAGTCCTGGTCCATCATTGCTGCAGGTTATCTGAGCTGCTCAGTTGGGATTGACTGATAGCAGAAGGCTGTGTTGTAGGGCCACAAGCTTGGCAGAAACCAGGGGCTGTACCTACAATGAATGAAGCAAGATGAAAAAATGGTCGCTGTAGAGAGCTGTGTCTGACCAAGGTGGTGGGTGGGAGGTGCTGTACAAGCGGCAGAGGGAAATGGCCTCTCATTTTATATGGTGTTGAGGAGAAGAGCTGGTCTTCTCAAACCAGGGACTGCTCTGGGCACAGTAGGTCTCTGAGCTCTTTAGTTGGCTGTCACCTCCTTGCAGAGGGCCCTGTCAGTGAAGGACTCTGTCTCTTTCCTGGCTAAGTCACAAGATGGCTTTTACAGAAGAAGCCTGGATGAGATCTGTCTGTTCTCTGTCGTCTTCTGAGGAAGCTGGGGTAGGAGGTTGACTTCCTTCTCTTACCAGAGCATTCTGGTGGTGTAGAGTACACAAAGGATGTACTGTCCACCCTGTGGCAAAGATCTGCCTGGGGAACCAATAAGGTGAAAATTGAGACTTGTCAAACTCATTGCATGATGTGGGCTCCTTTCCTGTGAGTCATGCAGCAAATAACACACTTCTCATAACAAACACGTGTTGAACTTTTTCTAGGCTAAAGGGAAGTTGCCAGTGCTCGCCTACCACAGTGCAACTATCTACCGCAAGGAACTCTTTGTTTTTGGAGGGACTTTGCCCAAAAAGGCATCACTGCCAGTTGGACTCTGCAGCAACATGCTCTATGTCTTCAATCCAGAGCATGAAATTTGGTACCGGCCCATCTCAGAAGGGGAGAAACCTCTGCCTAGGCTTGGGTAAGAATGTGTTTATTTCAGCCCTCCAAAATAGAGCAGGAAACCTCTGCTCACCTCTCCTCCCACCCCAGTGGAATTTCCTAAATACTAGGTGATTGTTCTCCACTGTTTGATCCTTAAGATAGGGCTATGATTTGAGTGATGTGACTCCCAGGACCTCCTGTCATGAATCCTGAAGGGATTCTGTGCTTGGGCTGCAGTGGCTGGGGGTGGAGGCAGGTGGAGACTGAAGCTGTGGCAGCCCAATAGCAGAAGCCAAGGCTGAAACATCAGTTGTGGGAGTTTGCTGAAGATGCTTTGTTCACTTGCTGCTTCTCTGGCCAGGCATTCAGCTACTCTGCTGAAGAACAAGCTGCTGATTTTTGGGGGTCGGAGGACTTCTATCTACCTCAGTGACATGCATATCCTGGATCTGGGTAAGAAGGCTGTACCAGGTGGATGCCTTGGGAGGGTCTGTTGTAAGGCAAGGACTGGGAATGAGTCATGCTCGATGGGAAGGTGGCATTAATGTTATAAAAACTCCTGACTAGGCAATGGAGATGGAAAACTATGGGGTAAAAAAACCTCCTTTCTGGGGTAAGAGGGGAGGGAATGGGGAAAAAAACAAGAGACTGCCTTTTTGGAAGAAGCTGGGTAACAGAGAAAGCAGGTTGCTGATGTGTCAGAGCATAGAAGTTTTTGTCTAGTGATGAGGCTGAGCTTTTTGGACATTTCACTTGCCTTTCCCCTGGCTGTCAGGTTTCATGGAGTACACCCCAGTGCCCCTCCTCGCAGGACAGCCTTCCGCGCGTTGGTAAGATGCTATTGCAGACCCAGGAGCTATCTGCTTCCTCTGCCGTTTCTCTTTGAAGCCAGCTTTAAATGGTGCCTGTGATCAGACCTAGTTGCATATCTCTGTCCCTCTAGTCAAAATACAGCAGATGACCCCTCTGCTGTGGGACCAGAAATTCCTGTACTGTCCTAGTTGGTGCCTGTAGGGTGTGGAGGGGTACAGACCCCGTATTCTCCCTCGAAATCTGCCTTTCAGGCTAGGGGAAGTTTTCAGCCATGTCCCAGTGAACTGTATTGCCTGCGGTTTGGTTTCTGTGGTACCTGGAATACAACAGACACACAGAGAAGAAGAAACTCTCATACCAGGACTATGCTGTTCCTAAAGGGATGTTATTGCCCACTAGAACAATGACCTAAATCAGACCAAAGCCCAGCTACCCTGCTATCCTGCTCCACAGAGCAAAACATAGGAGTTTTGATAGCTCCTTCTGAGATAATGAGATGGTTTTCAGGCCTGATTATGGCCTGAGCTGCAGAGGACAACAGCTCTCAGGGTTATTCAGCAAGTCAAGGTAGAAGAGATGCAGAAGTTAACTTCCATTTTGCAGC